CGTATTTGTTTATTTTGGTGGCGGATGTTTTGTCGAAGCTTCTTCACCAAGGTTTGCTGGCATGAGATTCTCAGGGTTGAAAGTTAGGCGTGCAAGCCCTGTTTTGTCCCATTTGCTGTTTGCAGACGATGTTTTTCTCTTCCTCAAAGTGGATGTTCTTCAATGTCAAAACTTGCTCCACATTTTGAAGGTTTATGGAGATGCGTTTGGCCTATTGATCAACTTCTAGAAATCAAGCATTCAATTTTCCTCCAATGTTGGGCCATGTCTCCAGCAACAAATTTGCTCCACTTTGGGTATGGCTACGGTTAAAAAGGGATTTAAATATCTGGGGCTACCGTCATGCTAGGGCCGATCAAAGATAGAGGCATACAATTTCTTGGTCGAAAAGATGATGGACAAACTTCAAGGTTGGAAACTCCAGTTGCTGTCCCATGCTGGTAGAGAGACTTTGATAAAGTAGGTGGCTCAAGCTAGTCCCTCTTATGCTATGTCGTGTTTTCTCTTCCCCAAGAAATTGTGTGCTTTCTTTAATCAGATTGTGAGTAATTTTTGGTAGAAAGGAGGTCCAACAAATAAGGGTATCCACTGGGTTGCCTGGGATAAAATGGTCAAGTCTAAAAATCTTGGTGGTGTGGACTTTCGTGATTTTCGAGCTTTCAACAAAGCCCTGCTAGCACGCTAAGGATAGAGGCTCATTCAAGATCCTAACTCCTTTTGCTCTAGATTTTTTGAATGCTAAAAAAGGAGGCCGAGCTTCGTGGGCCTGGGCTAGCTTACTTGACGACTGTGAGGTTCTCACTAGAGGGGTTCGTTGGCAAGTTTATAATGGCTCTTCAGTAAATTTCTGGGCTGATAGATGGATACCCTCATCCAAGGACTTTCGTATTCACTCTCCAAAGCTTAGTGGCTGCCTTCTTTCTCGAGTAAGCGAGGCTATCAACCCAATTGCAAAGATTTGGGATGGGAATAAGCTAGGATTACTGGTTACTGATAGGGAGCTGGCTGCTATCTGAATCATACCTATTTCGGTTGAAGACAAGGATGATTGTGTGGTGTGGTATCACGACCCAAATGGGACATACTCGGTTAAATCAGGGTACCGGGTGGCTTTGAACCTCCATCGCTTGCTTGAGCAACAGCCGTCCTCCTTTTTTCATGTTTCGGAGAATGTTTGGAAATTCATTTGGGCCCTCCTTGTTCCCTCTAAACTCCGGCACTTCTGGTGGAGGATGTGTCACAATTCAGTGGCCACGAAACTCAATCTAGTTCGAAAACAGTGTGCTTCTGATGGCCTCTGCCCTGTGTATGCAAAGGAATTGGAGACTGTGGAGCACTTATTATGCGGGTGTAACTAGGTGAAGGCTGTTTGGTTTGGCAGTATGTTGAATCTTTCTTTCTATGGGGGATCTATCTCTTCTATTGCCAGATGGACCTATGACCTTTTTGATGGTTTCTTCAATTCGCACCATCGGCAGGAATTTTTTTGTAAATTGTTGTGGTTGGCTTGGCATATCTAGAAGGGACGAAATGATTTTTTCTTTAATCATGTCCCAGTTAATCCTCTGTCTACTATCTTTACAGCAGGGAAGGCCTGGGCGGAATTTGCAGCTCTTCCTCCTACCAGACAGCATGTGGTTGGCAACCAGGATAGTGTTCCAAGGGCCCATCCAGTATGGAATCCTCCTTCTTGTGGGTAACTTAAAGCCAATTGTGATATGGCCATCCTTCCAGGATCGTCTAGAGCTGCTCTGGCGATTTTATTTCGAGATTGGCTCTCACGTGCATGGGGGAGTCCACATGGAAGTGGTGGGTTCTGTTATGTAAGCGAAAGCTATGATTGTTAGATGGGCTTGCCTTATGGCCCAATCCCTTAACCTCTCCCAAGTTGAGATTTTGGGCAACAACAAGACAGTGATCCACCTTAGCGCCTCTGAAAAGGTTCCTCCATGGGAGTGCTCTTCTATCTTTGCTGACATTCGGACTTTGGCTTGTAAAAACAATTTTTCCTTTTTTTGGACTCCGAGAGAGGCTAATGTTGCTGCCCATTAGACTGCTAGACAGTTCCTTAAGGGCCTTTTGCCTCCTGGTTGGTTTTGTAATCCCCCTGATGCTTTGCGTCAGGCTTTGTTTCTATGATTAATCAATATCCTTACCTCTGCTCAAAAAATAAAATAAAATAAAATAGTGCTACTGTAAATTAAATGCTCTTGTTGCCCATCTTGTTAATTCGAATAATTTGTTTTAATAAAAAAATTAATTAAATAAATATTAATAATTTTATGATCGGATTATAATTATTTAAAAAATCTAAACGGATAGAATCCGTTTCCCAAATAATATATGTGTGCGCGCATACAGTTTGACAACATACTCATTTTAGCTTTCCAAACACGGCCTTGACAAGGCCATGACTTCTCCTCCTCATAATTCCATGAAGTATTAAAGCAAATTATTGCAGGATTTGGTCAAGAGGGCATCTTTTCACAGGTCACTGAAATTTGACAAGCGGCAGATACCCAACTTTTTTTTAAGAGTCTTGAAAGGAATGATTCAAGTAAAAAGTTAAAAAGAACCCAATGAAATGGCCATGTTACAGCATGTTACCCAGATATCATTAAAATGATTTTGCTTAGATAACAATAATAGAGGTTATTAATTTTGGAATTTTAAAAAGATTACTAATGATATGATATTTAATAAAAAAAAAATATATAATATAAAAATCAAAATATCAAATCATTCCTAATGAGACCCACTAACACATTATTAATGATAGCACTAATTAGTACACTCACGCCCTTGCTTAGATGGGTCATTTGATTCTAATCCTAACACATGGATCTCTACTATGACATGACGCGGATTAAGAGATTATAAAATATATATAAAAAACAAAAAAAAATTTAGTGTTTTAAAAGTTTTATTAATAGCCTTTGTTAACTTGGATTTTTTTAATTATTTTAGTCACAAAAAATAAAATAAATTTTTTAGTTTAATAAAACAAGATATTACATCTAATCTATAATCATTATATTTTTTTTCACAAAAAAAGTTAAAAAAATTAAGAAAACCAAAAGCTTTTGTCAAATTAAATTTTTTAATCTCAGACTAAAATAGTTAAAAAAGTCAAAATGTCAACCTATTTTCCAAACAAAGGCATAATCAGTTGAAAAAGAAAATGGTGGTGATTATGCCTAGTACACGATAAAATCCGTCATAAAAGCGGTTGATATTTTGAATTATTCTACCTATTAATTACGTATTTATAAATTATTGCGTGTTAGTCATAAATGGGGGCTAGGGTCCCGTTGAGAGTGTCGTACCCCCTGCGAGGTTCACCCTGGACTGATTTTCATGATTTAAATATTTTATTTTGTAAAATTCATCAAAAGAATTATCAATACAAAAAAAAAAAAAAAAAAAAAATTATTAGATATTAATATTTACATGATTAAAATATATTTAATTTAAAAAATTATATCTAAATAATTTTTTTAACAGACTACAAATTAAATAATTTAAATCATGAATACGATAATTTTTTCAACAGACGATAATTTTTTTACCATCTTAAAAAAAAAATAAATAAATAAATAAAAATTCACGAAGATGTTTCTAAGGTGAACCTCATTTCAAAGCATATCACGTCTTGTAGGCCCAATAATGAAGAGTTGTGAGAGACTCCAAGTCAAAGGACACAAGTTAAAGTTTCATAACTTTTCAATGCCCACTTGTGGACATCATCATTTTGTTCTTGAAAGTCATGACCAACAATTCCCTCTGGTAAAAATCAATACCCTAACTATATAGCACAAAAATCTAAGCATATAATTAGTGTTATTTTTTTCCTTGATAATGGAATCATTTAGGGTGACCAATAATACCATTTGTGAAAGAGTCATCTAAAATGATAATTTGCAGGCCCTACAGTCGTGAACTTGATTCTATGATTTAGAATATATGACAGTTTTTTATGAATAAAATTCATTAAAAAATGACCTATCTCAAAAAATATTTCAAAAAAAAAAAAAAAAAAAATGATCAAAAAAAAAAAAAAAAAAAGAACATTGAGCCGTTTAAAACGAATATATCAAAATCATCACACAATTTGATGTCTTAGTTTAAAAATGATAGGTTAGTATTATATGCTAATTTTTTGTAATTTTATTGGTGTCCTTTCTTATAAGACCAAATAGAACATGTGTATTAGTCTTGGATGAAGCCACACTGTTCTTAACGAATACACTAAATTCCACCATCGTTTTGAAAATAACAATATAACCATATTAAAAACTATAATGCAAAGACAAATCACATTATAATTTAGATCATCGTATCGTATATAGACAGATGCACATCATGCACTTGAGGGGCACACCATGAATTATTACATTATAAATTATTATATATTATACATCTTTGATATGACATTGCTATATATATATATATATATTCTCAATACATTAATACTAGTATTTTTGAATAATTATTATATAAAATTGGATGTAAATAATGAGTGTAACGATGATATTATATATATTATCTTTGGTGTTCAAATTTGCGAACTTTATAGCATTAATTCTAGGTTAGATATACATATATATATATATATATATTTTTTTTTTTACTTCACCACACACAAAAAAAAGGTATTTTGAGATCATTTGTCTTCTCCCATGCTCACCTTTTTGTCCGTTTAAATTTTATTGATTCATAGGGTTAGTCAATGTCGGAAAAAAGAAAAAAGAAAAAAAAATCAGTTGTAATAAAAAAGATTGAAGGGAACCAAGAAAAAAGTATGGAAGGAGATAAATGATTTGGATTCCTCTCTCAACTCTCCTCACAATCGCAAAATTTTTTTTATTTTTTTTTTGTAATAATACCATGACATTTAACGCCACAAACAGGTTATTAACATTCGAAAAAGAAAAGGGTAATGCATTTGATTAAAATCAGCAGAAATGGGAATAAGTTAGTTCCATTGCCAAGAGTGTGCATATCACAAATGTCAAACTGACCTTTACTTAACCAGTTGTAATTGTCTTGTACAAAAAACAGTGAAAACAAAAGAGGAGAGAAAAAAAAGAAGAGAAAAGTAAAACACAGCTCTCTCTCTCTGAGTAAAAAAGGCTTTTCTGTACTACAAAAGTTGCTTGTAGAAAAGCTGATCATCCAAGATATGAGTGTTTTTTCTACAGTTCATGAATGTGATGAGCTCTGAGTATGTTCAAAAAGGAGAGAGAGAGAGAGAGAGAGAGAGAATCCCAATACTACAGAGGACATTTTGTACATGAGATGAGAGCAGTCACGAGGAGAACTCTTTCCACAGATCTGCAAAGAATATTTATTCTCTCACTCAGTTTCTCAGCCAAACAACACAAAAAACAACGAAATTAATGGCTGTCAGAGCACATATCTATTCCATTACCACACAGAAATTAATTACAAAACGAAACGGAAGAATACAAAAATTTATTGGTGGAACTCAATTTTAAAAAATTGTGCTTATTTGATTCTGTATTAATTTTTGTATTTTTAGACTTATTCATATCTAATAATATGATTCAATTGAGAGAGAGAGAGAGTAAATAACAAAAAGATATATTATTAATAGTTTGAGTACTCCTTACAACCCTAGCTCAAAGAGCACTAAAAAATTTACTATCATAAAATTACATGAGGAGAAGATAAAAGGCAAATTGAACTTGAGATCTTCAATGCTTGTATTGTATGAACTCTTGGGAGGTTCACACCAGGGATAATTTTTCGATTAGAGAATTTAGAGATGATAAGTCTAATTTGAATATATAGCTCAGGAGGGATAGACAAGGAAGGAGAACATGAGTTGGGTGGGAACGAAGAAAGACAATGACCAAACCTTACATATGCACTTACAGTTGTAAGGTTTGTAAAGCGATGAAAAAAGAGGATAAAAGAAACGGTGTGGGATCTTACAAGGTCAAGAAAAGGTCTTACAAGGTCAAGAAGACATAACAAAAATAAAAAAGAAAAGGCAACAAGTCAAAAAAGAAATGAAGAATGAAGAAGGAGAGGTTGAGAGGAAAAGCTCAGGTAGGATAGCACCAAATTAGCATGAACAAGCCACTGTCACAACGGAGCTCCCAACGCCAAATTGAAAGTCTCCGGTGGCACTCCGATCACTGGAGATTTCTTCGTGCCCATGGTTTTGATTTGTCAAAGTGATAGACACCATGGGGGGGTTGTTGATGGTGCTACATACTTGAAGTTCTAGGTCATCTGCAACAAACATTGCAGTATAATTTATGTAAGCAAATGTATGTACTTAATTTTTCATCATAATGATAACGCATGCATTAGTATTTTAAAAAATTTAAGCCAATGTTGATGGATCTTTTTTTGTTTTAAAGTCATAAAATCAACATGTGTCACATCATTCAGTATTGATTTTATGTATAATTTTTTGATTTGTATAATATTACTATTCATATAAAATAAAAAAGATAATGACGAAGGTGGTTCGAAAAGAAAAAGCCAAACTCCATATTAGATGAAAATTTGACAGCACAAGAATATTGTGACAAGATATATACATGGCTCAATTTGTAGTAGATTTTCAAAGGAAGAAGCTGAACTATACCTCAATGGAGGAAACCATAAGAACACATTAAAATGTCACTTTGACATTTATTTTATATTTATAAAAAAAAAAAATTGGCAGTAGAGCTTCATACCATGTAGAAATTTCTTTCCTACTTTCTGAACTGAAAGCTTCTCCCTCTCTCCCATAAGAAAAAGCACACAATCTAAGACTGAGATTTGAGAGAGGAATAAGTGAGTGAAGAAAGTGAGGCAGATGGGTGGGCTTATAAGAAGGAGAGGGAAGGGGGCTTGGGACATGCAGTGGGCTGGCCAGATGGACCTGACAGCGACAGGTCCAAGGCCCAGAAAGAATGTTCAAACCTATAACCCAACCTCCAACCCCTCGTGTGACGTCATCAAAGTCTTGAATGATAAAAAAATTATTTAGTGGTCTGGTCCAGTGCACCATCTGTCAATGTTCCTTAATAATCACTAAGTATTCTTCTTCTGCTGTTCTCTGAGTACTCAACAAAAAGAAAATTATACATCTCACCCCCTCAATCAATTACAATACTTTTAAATAGGGGTATAAATTTGGCCTGAATTTGGGCTGGCAAAATTTGAACTGAGCCAAGCCGGGCCACAAGCCAAATAAGTAGGACTAGGCCCAAGTTCAAAAAATATTCGTACCTTGAGCGGACTTGCAAGATGAGTTTAAATATTTTTTTCATCAAAATTTTATTTTTTTAATAAATATGAAATTGTAGCTCAGGTCAGGCTTTGAGTGGTCCAGTGCACCATCTGTCAAAGCTGCCTGTGCTGCCGGCCCGGCCAACCTTTGTTAAACCAACCCCAAAAAATGTAAGTAAAACAAAAAATTTCGGTCCTTTTTATCCGTCTTTACGACGCGTTAGGGCCATACGTGGCAGTGTTTGGTCCGTTGGTAGGAACTGGTCCAGTGAGCGGAAGGTCACACGTGTAGCGTAATTTTTTTTTGATCATTTATTTATTTTTGATCCGATGAAATACACAAATTTATTTAACAAATATATATTACTTTCATTTTATAATCAAACTACATTAACAACACAAGTTCAACTCAAGTTAGATTTGCATTTAATTAGAATTTTTTTGTTTTTTATTTTTTACAATTGGGAAAATTTTGCTATAAAAAAAAGAGAGAAATTCAAGAAATTTTAATTATAGACAAATTTTGTTAATGTTTTTTTAAACAAGAAAATAAAAACTTAGTTACAATGCCAGATTAAATAAACAAATTATTTTTCTTATAATTTCCAACATATGCTAAACAACTCATTAAAAGGTTTCATATTTTTATTTTTTTTAATAAAAGATTTTGCCTCACTTTCATCCTTAACAAATTAGTCTTAAATGGGAGAATAGATTCACACACAAATAAAATTATTTGAACCCAATATTGTGATGAAAAAACTATAACTAACTAATTGAATTAACCTCATTAAGTGATATTTGGTTATTCTAATTAGCCTGCAAGTTCACAATTTAGGAGTCGTAATTTGTAAAAGAAATTATGGTAATATAGTATCTTCTAGGTCACTGTATTTGACCATAAGCTAAAGTACCTTGCGATTTATTTTTCATTTTTAATTTTTTTTAAACTTGGGTTTTAAAAAAAGAAAAAATAATAAAATAAAATTTTAAATGTTAAAAACTAGAGGCATGGGAAATGGAACCGTGTGGGCATGCGGGCAAGGGGACACATATTATGAGTAGTAGTCTTCGCAGTCTTCTAATTAGATGCGGTCAAAACAATCAACTGTTTTCCTTGGCCTGCTTATTTTATATTTAAGTAAAAACAATAATTTATATAAAATTATTACCAACAATAACATGAAAATAAATATTTTCCAAAACAGCTGGCTCTTTTATTTTAAAGTGATAAAATTAAAATTTATCATATTATTTTGTGCAAATTTTCTGTTTATTTAATAGTGGTACTTTTATATTTATAATTAGATTTACCCACGGACTCTTTTCTGTATTTGTGGATAACATACCATCAAAAATGGCTGGTAAGTCATTGTTTAAGTTCTTCTCAAAGTTTGGCATTGTAAAGGATGCCTTCATCCCTTCCAAACGAAGAGTAGTGTCACACTCTAGATTTGGGTTTGTGAGGTTCAACTCTCATGTAGCTACTGCCATAGCCATTCAAAAAGCCAATGGTCTTCTAATGAATGATAAAGTCCTCGAAGTCAAAACTGCAACTCTTGATAGACGAAGCAGAGAGGAACACAATAGGCGATATTCAAAGGTCATGAAGCCTCAGTTTAACAGGAGATCATTCGAAGTTAATAGATTCAGAGGGCATGTTTCATCTGCTGGCCAGAGATCCTACGTTAATGTTTTGCAAGGGGTGAAAACAAATACCGCCATTAAAGTTATTGAGGAGGGCAACGGGTGGCTCTATGGAAGTGCCATAATTCGGTTCAATATAGAGTATTCAATTCACAGTGTTACTGAAGCCCTGAAGGAGAAAGGATTGGAGCACATTTTGGTCAGAAAAGGGGTTGGTCGGGATGTAATTTTAACCTTTAACTCTCAAGATGAGTTGAAATCAAACATTGGTAATCTTAAAGATTAGTTTAAGGACTTGAGTCTGTATGTGGTTGAATGGAAATCTGGGATTCATTTGGTCCAAGAAAGGTGTGTGTGGTTGAAATGCTGCGGGATACCACTGCATGTTTGGAACAAAAATATACTCTCAACAAGATTGGTAGCATATGGGGCTCTGTACTCAGTATTGAGGGGGATACATGCCAACCAAAATCCTTATCATATGCTAGAATCAGAGTGGCCACTTCAACTAGGGCTGCAAACGAGCCGAGCCGAGCTTTAGTATGTTTGGGCTTGTTTATTAAGATTTTATCGAGCTCGATCGAGCTCGAGCTCGAGCTGAATAAAAATTTAACGAACCGAGCTCGAGCCGAGTTGGCTTAGGCTCGACTCAAGCTCGAGCCTATTCACGAATCTTAACGAGCCAAAAAATTTATAAATTCATACTTGCATGTGAGACTAAAGTTACAATTAAAACTTTGATTATACAATTATATATACAATATGTATAAACATACTAAAAAAAAGTCCATATTTTACTAAAATAATAATATCTACTACCACTATTATATAAATATACTATCTATAGTTAAGTATTATTTACATTTATATTTTTTAAATATATAAATAGCATATTTCTCTTATTTTTTATACATAATTTTATATTATTTAATATATAAATAATAAATATTAAACGAGCCAGCTAACGAGCCGAGCTTTAGACTGTTTGGGCTTATTTATTAAAAATTTAACGAGCTCGAGCTTGAACGGCAAAAAAAATTAACGAATCGAGTTCGAACGAGCTCTTACCGAGTCGAGCTCGAGCTTGTTCATGAACGGCTCTGTTCATTTGCAGCCCTAACTTCAACCATGGAGTTTATTACTCAGTCATTAATCTTAGAATGCAAAGGCAAAGCTCATACAATGCTTGTGTGTGAAGACCACCTCCCAGATCTCAGTAGTATGAATCATAATGGCATGTATGAGTTAAGTCTCCTGGAAACATGTTGCAGTGTAGAGGAAGCAAATTTTCCGGTGGTCGAAGGTACGGAAATGGGTGAAGATGATGAGGTGGCAGTGGCTAGTGCCATGTTTGGAGCTAAGATTGCCTGCACTCATGAGAAAACACAGGGAAAACACCATACGAACATAGTGGTAGAAGAGACACTCTGTGATGGAGGCGCTATCAGAGAATGAGGAGCGTATGCTGGGAAGATTTTGACGGATTTGATAGAAACGTCTGCCCATTTTTCAAAAAGTAATGATGAGAGGGGAAAATGTGCTGAAGAAGTCTTCACACCTGGTTTTATCCGTTGCTTCAATGAACCATGTGCTGCAGGAGGATCGGGTATCAACTTGGAAGTGGATTTGGCCCGCTATGCAAAGCAGCCCGAAATTTTTTGGACCTCCTTGCAGGCCCACTAACACTCAAACTAATAATGTAAGCCCAGAAAGCACGGGATTAGGTCCTATATCTCATTCTGGGCCTGTTGGTAACTTTGGTCCGTATATAAAAGGTAATCTACCTCATTCTCAGATAGCCCAAGGTTTACTCTCTGTCTTTATTACAGACCAGCAACGCAAGGAGAGGAAGAAAGGGAAGATGAAGACCCAGGTTGAGGGGTTTACTAGCTTTGCTAGGATCCATGCGTACACAAATAATGCAGCCAAGAAGCACTATGCTAAATCTGTCATCTTTCAGCCTGCAGTTAAAGCTTTAGCACAGCCAAATTCTTCTGTAACTGAATCATCTCTGAGGAACCAGATCCTTCATGAGGCGGCAGCAACTATCCACTTGGGGAAAACACTTGGCATTGATTATCATGGGAAAGAAGATATTGTGCTTAACAAAATCATGGGCTTAGAAATTAAAGACAAAGAGAGAATTGACAAGGAGGGGAAGGCCCAGCAGTAAAGGTTGGTAGAAGGGTCTTTTAAGTGCATAAATTAGTTTGTAATGAGATTATTATCTTGGAATATCCGGGGTATGGGTAAAAAGGAGAAGCATGGCAGAATCAAGAGGCTCCTCAAGGATAGAAACATAGACATTGTTTTTTTTCAAGAAACAAAAAGGGCAGTTATATCAGATGTTGATGCTAAAAGGCTATGGGGAAGCAAAAACATGAAATTTATGTCTGTAGATCCTGAAGGAACAGCATGAGGCCTTTTATGTATCTGGGATCCTGCTATGTTCACACTCTCTGGTTGCTGCTGTCATAGGAGGTATATCCTACTCTCTGGTTCTTTATTCAACTCTTATAATTGTGTACTACTCAATATTCATGCACCTAGTGATGTTGGTGCCAGAGTATTTTTTTGGGATAATATTTTAAAGCTTAAATCTTCTTTCCCTAATCCTTGGTGCATGGCTGGAGACTTTAATGAGATTAGACATATCAGTGAAAGACTTGGTTGCTCTATGAGGGATAGGGGTATGAAACACCTCAATGATTTCATTGGAAATAGTGAGCTTCATGATCTACCACTTCATGGAAGGAAATACACTTGATGTAATGCCCAGGAATCAGAGAAATGAAACAGAATTGATAGAGTCTTGCTAAGCCTTGAATGGCTGATTAATTTCTCAATGAAATTATGGGGATTGCCAAGGTTAATTTTAGACCACTGCCCTTTATTAATGATGGAGGATGACAGATATTGGGGGCCAAAACCTTTTAGATTCCTAAATTCGTGGACTCTTCACCCTAGGTTTGC